CTGGGATCATGACCTGAGCCGAAGGCAGATGCTTAATGACTGAGCCACCCAGGTGCCCCTTTTCTTTGCTTTTTTTATCTCTATATTTTTTTGTTCTTTCTGGGAGATTTCTGCAGCTTTATCTTTCCGTCTCTATTTTGCTATCAAGATTTTAATTTCCAAGGCTCATTTTTGACCTCGAATGTTCATTTTTTTAAAGATTTAATTTATTTATCAGAGAGAGAGCGTGTATGCCCATGAGAGCACAAGTTGAGGGAGGAGCAGAGGGAGAGAGAGAGAGAGAGAGAGAGAATCTGAAGCAGACTCCATGGGGAAGCAGAGCCTGACACAGGACTTGATCTCACGACCCTGAGATCATGACCTAAGTCAAAATCAAGAGTCTCATGCTTAACCAACTGAACCCCCAGGCACCCCTGAATATTCATTTTTAAAACATAATACGCTATTGTTGTCTCATGGATTGTAAGTAGCTAATCTCACTGCTAATCTGTGCTCTCCAGGTTGCCTTTTCTTTTTCTTTGTGTGGTCTCTAGTGTGCATGTTAGAGGTGTTTCTCAGTGGTGTAGTCCTTGGTTGTAGATTCTTATTTGGGGACAAAAAAGGTGATTGACGGCTTGGATTATATAGGTGGGACTTATTAACTTTGAGCAACAATATGGAATGATGTTGGTGGGCCTTTTGTTGGGTACTCCTCATTTAAATATCCTTAGGTTTTTCCTCTTCTGCAGGCAGGATTCCTCAGAGAATATTCTTCCAGTCTCCTGCATGAAATTTCTAGAGCTAAGTGCTGGAAGATGGCTGAGCAGATTCTCAATATTCACCTATTTTTAGGATAGTACTATTTTTAGAATATAGTACCCATGCCCTCAAATCAACTGGTCAGTCCACAATGCAAAGACTTTCTGTCTTACCCTTTCTAGAGATTAACTTCTGGATTTTTTCTGGGGATGGGAAGGAGGTAAGTAGGCAGGGAAGGGGATCTGTTTCTCGACAGCTTTTACTCTCGTCTGCTTATTTTAGCACTACTAACCATCCCCAGTTCAAGATCCTTTTGTAGATTCTACAGTATCATCAGACTGATTCTCGGCTTTCCTCACTGTTGGTTTAGGATTCATCTTTTTTAGTTCTGCTAATTTAGTTTCCACTTGTCTGTCTATTTTCTAATTTCCAAAAATTTGGTGTTGCTATCCTTTCTCCCATTCTCCCTGTCTTTGTAGATTTAGAATTTTTATTTGTTTATTTATTTTTTAAGTAAGCTCTCTACCCAACATGGGACTCAAACTCACAACCCTGAGATCAGGAGTTGCATGCTCTACCAACTGAGCCAGCCAGCTGCCCCAATAGATTAGTGTTTTATTTATTTATTTATTTATTTATTTAATTTATTCATTTATTTTTAGATTAATGTTTTTTATTTTTTAAGATTTTATTTTATTTGAGACAGAGAACAAACAGAAGGAGCGACAGGCAGAGGGAGAAGCAGGCTCCTCGCTGAGCAAGCAGCCTGATGTGGGACTTGATCCCAGGACCCTGGGATCATGACCTGAGCTGAAGGCAGACACTTGACCGACTGAGCCACCCAAGCATCCCTAGATTAATGTTTTTTAAAAAAAATCTTTTTACTTCAGCTTTAGTGGGATATGGGGAAAGAATGAAATTAGGTATGTATGTTCAGTGTACCATCTTAACTTGGAAATTATGAAGTTTATATTAATAAGGACTGTTTTGGTTGTAAATAATAGAAACCCAATTCAAACTAGCTTAGGGAGAAAAGTTATTGGCTCCAGAGCCTGGGAAGAGTAGTTTACAGGATTGAAGGAAGAAGTGCATGAACCAGGACCTTAAGTTCTGGTCCTATCAAACCAGAACTCTCAGTATCACCAGGACACTATAAAACTGTGTATGTGTATCTGTGTGATCTGTTTCATGAGCGCATGGTTTTATTTTGCAGATAGATTCTTACCCTGTGCGGAAAAGCTGGCTGCTTACAGAATTTATATCTTCCCTCTTTCATAACTTCATTGGAAAAAGAGCCCTTTTTTCCTTATATCTAAATATAAATATGAGGATTCTTACTGATTGGCTTTGGTCACTTGACTACCCCTAATCCAGATGGAATGGGGGAGGAGTTTTCTAGAAGAAAAGGGGTACTTTTACCAGAACAAGGGGAGTAAGATGGCACAGGGTCAAAAAAGTAATAGCTACCATAGTCCCCTCTTGATGAGCTTTCCAGATTTTTCACTGTTACAAACAATGTTGCACTGATATCTGTAGGATAAATTCCTATAAGTGGAATTGCTAGGTCAATTGGATTTTTATTATTGACAGATGTTATGAGTTTGATCATCAAAAAGATTGTATCAGTGTACATTCCCACCAACTGTTTGAGAGTCCATTTCCCCATACCGTTGCCAAATTGGGCATTATTAATCTTCTCATGTTTTCTCTAGTCTATAGGTAAGAAGTGGTATCTCATTATTTTAATTTGTATTTTTTATTTTTTTATTATTTTTTATAAGAGTTGAGGATACTATGGCTAAGATTTTAGTTATTTATTTGACAGAGAGAGACACAGTGAGAGAGGGAACACAAGCAGGGCGAGTGGGAGAGGGAGAAGCAGGCTTCTCGCGGAGCAGGGAGCCCGATGCAGGGCTCGATTCCAGGACCCTGGGATCATGACCTGAGCGGAAGGCAGATGCTTAATGACTGAGCCACCCAGGCGCCCCTTAATGTGTATTTTTTTAATTATTAAAAAGTGTTGAACATCTTTAAAATTTTTTTTGGCCATTTATGTTTCTTTTTCTGTGAACGGCTTTCATTATCCTTTAAAAAATTTTTGGATTATTGGCCTTTTCCTTGTTTATCTTTTTCCTTTTTTTTACACATTGATTTTTGAGAACTTCTTGCTCATTAAATAAATTAGCCCTTTGTTTTAATTCTTTTATTGTGGTAAAATATACATAACACAAAATTTACCATTGTAAGCATTAAGTGTATTAAATACATTAACATTGTTGTGCAACCATCACTACTATCCCTCTCAGAAGTTTCTTATCTTCCCATATTGAAACTTTGTACCCACTGGTTGCTAACTTTTCATTCTTCCTTTTCCCCAGCCCCTGGTAATTACCATCCTACCTTCTGTCTCTGTGAATTGGGCTACTCTAGTTATTTCACTTAGCATAATGTCTTCCAAGTTTAACTCTTTGTTTTTATATGTAGTTTGACAGCTTGTTGAGTCTTGAAATAATTCATGGTGATATTTTAAGCTGCTTACCTACTTGTCTTCTTTTCCTTTAAACTCATTTAATTACCATTTATTTTATCTCCTAGTATCTCGGAAAAGGAAAGCCAAGAACTGGGAGGATGAAGACTTTTATGATAGTGATGATGACACGTTTCTTGATCGGACCGGCCTGGTTGAAAAGAAGCGTCTGAACCGAATGAAGAAAGCTGGGAAGATTGATGAGAAGCCAGAGACCTTTGAATCATTGGCAAGTTTTAATTATAGAAGTAGCTGTGGTAGTTTAATTTTTAAATAAGATAATGTATTATTCAAATTTGTTTTATAATTTTTAAAGCAGTAGCATTGAAATTTGGTACTGAAGTATAGCTTTCTTGATCTGTAAATTTGATAGTAACAAACAGTCTTACTCAAGTTGGAAAAAGTTTGGCTTGCTGCTAGAGACTCTGTCTATCTCTAGGTGGATATTGATCCATGAAAGAGCATTCTTTGGTTATGATGTTAATCCTACAAAAAGAAAGGAAAAAGTTTCAAATTCGGCCATTCTGAGGTGAAACTGACTTTAGACTTCTGGCAGTCAAGAATTGTGAAAGGAATTTTGAGGAGTATAGTTCGGTAATAGTCTTAAACTGTATATCCTTTATGAAATCATCATAAGATAGCATGTGTTTTCACTATATTAAGTAGTATTCAGAGCTTTAAAACATTACCCAACATCTTTTTTTGATTCATCAATGAAAACAAATGCCTTGAGTTCTTTTGAGTAATGTCAAGTCTGTGTTCTGTACATTCATTCTGTTTAATTTTGAGTTAATTCAGAAGTTAGTTCAAATTAAATAAACACATGAAAATTGTTAACTCCGTAAGATGCAGATTTAACTGGAATTCTGAATGAGTCCTCTTAAACCTTGTAACAATTATGAAAATAAGAGGAAGAAGACAGAAAAGCTACCATATTTTGAAAGAAGAAAAACATTTGCTAACCCTGTTAATTTGGGTGTTACAGGTTGCAAAGTTAAATGATGCTGAAAAGGAACTCTCTGAGATTTCTGAGAAACTGAAAGCCTCAAGCAAAGGTAAGTTAATGACCCATTAAACAAGTATGTATTGGGCGTCTACCATATGTAGTTCTCTCTGCCAGCACTGAGCCTAGTTAATAAGATATACAGAACATGGAGTCTTTCTAAGGAGCAACATAGCATCTTGGAACTAGAAAGAACATTGTAAGTTATTTGTTTTAAACTCTTTATATAATAGATGAGGAAAATGAAGCCCATTGAGGCAAAATTATGTCCCGAGGTCTTCAAGCTATAACCTGTTTTCTTATTCCTTTTTTTTTTTTTTTAAGATTTTATTTATTTGACAGAGAGAGACACAGTGAGAGAGGGAACACAAGCAGGGGGAGTGGGAGAGGGAGAAGCAGGCTTCCCGCGGAGCAGGGAGCCCGATGCGGGGCTTGATCCCAGGACTCTGGGATCAGGACCTGAGCCGAAGGCAGACGCTTAACCGACTGAGCCACCCAGGTGCCCCTGTTTTCTTATTCCTGATATGAGTAATGTCCTCTGCCCAGCTTTATGTTAGTGACTTAAAAAAAAAAAAAGATTTATTTATTTATTTGAGAGGGATAGAGTGTGCAGTGTTGGGGGAGGGCAGAGGGAGAGAGAGAGAATCCCAAGCAGACTCCCTGAGATCATGACCTGAGCTGAGGTCAAGAGTTGGACGCTCAAGTGACTGAGCCACCCAGGTGCCCCTGTTAGTGACTTTTCGATGGAAACTTTGGCTGAATTTTAAAATATTTGAGGCCAATTTTCTGAATATATATTATCCCTTTCTTGGACAGCTCTGTCAGAGTCACCATCTCAGGACTCTTTAGATGCATTTATGTCAGAAATGAAATCAGGGAGTGCATTGGATGGTGTGTCCCGGAAGAAACTCCACCTGAGAACTTTTGAACTGAGGAAAGAACAACAGAGACTTAAAGGGTTGATAAAAATTGTAAAGCCAGCAGAGATTCCAGAGCTGAAAAAGTAAGTCTTAGTTATACTTGAAATTTTAAATAAACATGTTTGCATAGATAATATTTTTAATTATATAGTTGTTTTCTTAGATAATCATTACAGAATACAAATAGAATGTAAGAAATCCTTTAAAGCACAGGAGGCAGTGATTTCATACAGTCAAAACCATTTCATTTGTGAAATATAGACTGCTGTAGGATTTTTAGAGAAAACTATATTGATTCCTGTTTCATTGGAAGGCTCTGAATTTTTTTTTTTTAAGATTTTATTTATTTATCTGACAGAGTGAGAGAGCACAAGCAGGGGGAGCAGCAGAGGGAGAGGAAGAAACAGGCTTTCTACTGAGCAGGGAGACTGATGCAGGGCTTGATCCCAGGACCCTGGGATCATGACCTGAGCTGAAAGCAGACGCTTAACAGATTGAGCCACCCAGGCGCCCCAAGGCTCTGAATTTTTTACTTAATCTTTTTTTTTTTAAGATTTTATTTATTTATTCATGAGAGACAGAGAGAGAGAGAGAGAGGCATAGGCAGAGGGAGAAGCAGGCTCCTCGCTGAGCAAGGAGCCCGATGTGGGACTTGATCCCAGGACTCTCGGATCAAGATCTGAGCCAAAGGCAGACGCTCAACCGACTGAGCCACCCAGGTGCCCACCCCCCCGCCTTTTTAAAAGATTTTATTTATTGAATTTTTTACTTAATCTTTTAATGCAGAGTAAACTTCTTTAAAGAGAAACATGCCAAAAGGCTAATTTCCCTAATATATAAAGACCTTTGAATAAGTAGACAACCATCTACCGAAGAAAAAAATGGGAAAAGGATATCAACTGACAAGCCACTGAAAAAGAAATACAAATGGCTCTTAACTATTTTAAAAAAATGCTCAATCTTGCTTATAAGAGGAATACAAATATAATAATGTAATACCATTTTTTAATCTATGATTTTAAAACCACAGATGAAAATATGTGACTGCAGATTATTTTAGCACCTGATTTGTAATTCCTAAGAACCAGTTGACAATTTTAATATATTTAAATACTTTTTAAAAAAGATTTTATTTATTTATTTATTTGAGAGAGAGAGAGAGAACATAGCAGGGGAAGGAGCAAAGGGAGAGGGACAAGCAGACTCTGAGCTGAGCACAGAGCCCGATCAATGCAGGGCTCGATCCCACAACCCTGAGATCATGACCTGAGCTGAAATCAAGAACCGGATGCCCAACTGACTGAGCCACCCGGGCGCCCCTATATTTAAATACTTTTAAAGTGGAATTTCTTCCTTTAAAATGGGGGAAGGCATAACCCCCTAAAGTTGATTTTATTGGTTAACTTTGATTTTGTGAAAATTATTGGAAGAAATTAACCTAATCCTTTTTTTTTTAGTAATTTGTGAACAAGATTTTGGGACTAATTTTTCCCAGATTTGGCTAGTATTTGTGAGTGTGTGAATGTATGTGTGGTGTGTGTGTGTGTGAGAGAGAGAGAGAGCATAAGATCCAATCTTTCAATTTGACATTATTTTCACATTTTGTTCTATGTGGTCTCAACAAATTTTGAAAATGTTGAGTAGGTTATTATGGAAATGAGCAACTCCCAGTGAGCACAATTCAGGTAGGCATCTCAAAAAGTGGTATTGCCTAGGTGGGATCACTCACTTATGAAGGTAATTAACTCTGGAAAGTTTCTTATTTTCTTTTGATCTGTGCTGGCCTATATAGCACCCAGTAGTCTCCTGTGATATTAAAATTAAATGAAATTAAAAACTCAGTTCTTCAGTCAAGTAGTCCCATTTCATGTCCTCAAATAGCCATATGTGGCTAGTGGCTACTGTATTGGACAACGCAGATGAAGAACATTTCCATTATTGCAGAAAGTTCTGTTTGGATAGTGCTGCTTTAAGTAGGTTCAGCCTGGAGCCCAATGCGGGGCTTGAACTCACCACCTTGAGATCAAGACCTGAGCTGAGATCAAGAGTTGGCTGCTTAAACAACTGAGCCACCAGGTGCCCCATGGACAGTGCTACTTTATTTTTTTAATTTTTTTATTTTATTATGTTAATCACCATACATCACATCATTAGTTTTTGTGTTTAGTGTTTAGTGTTAGTTTAGTGTTCCATGATTCATTGTTTGTGTATAACACCCAGTGCTCCATTCAATACGTGCCCTCTTTAATACCCATCACCAGGCTAACCCATCCCCTCACCCCCCTCCCCTCTAGAACTCTCAGTTTGTTTCTCAGAGTCCATAGTCTCTCATGGTTTGTCTCCCCCTCCAATTTCCCCCCCTTCATTTTTCCCTTCCTACTATCTTCTTTTTTTTAACATATAATGTATTATTTGTTTCAGAGGTACAGGTCTGTGATTCATCAGTCTTACACAATTCACAGCAGTCACCATAGCACATACCCTCCCCAATGTCTATCACCCAGCCACCCTATCCCTCCCACCCCCCACCACTCCAGCAACCCTCGGTTTGTTTCCTGAGATTAAGAATTCTGATATCAGTGAGATCATATGATACATGTCTTTCTCTGATTGACTTATTTCGCTCAGCATAATACCCTCCAGTTCCATCCACGTCATTGCCAATGGCAAGATTTCATTCCTTTTGATGGCTGCATAATATTCCATTGTATATATATACCACACCTTCTTTATCCATTCATCTGTCGATGGACATCTTGGCTCTTTCCATAGTTTGGCTATTGTGGACATTGCTGCTATAAACATCAGACAGTGTTACTTTAGATTGTCAGTAAGCATTTATGTAGCCACTTAGCACTGTGTACAAAACCTGTAATTTAATGCTGGGGGCATTGCATAGATGAATATCTAGATATTGGGAGGCACCTTTTTTTTTTAATAGAGATGTAAAGACAAAATGTTTCTGGAGCCCTTGATCATCTGTACAGAAAATTAATCCCCAAATTACTAGCAGGTTTGTTAAAAGATTTATGTGTAGTTTGGATATTTCATACAGTGATTCATAGGTCAGTTCACAAAAGCTATGAACCAAGTGGTATTTCATTTACTGATAGTAAGGAGGGGGGTTAGCACTCAAGTTAGACTCCCTGGCTTTCATTCTCAGCTCTATGAATTACTTTTTGGGCATTTTGAGGCAAGTTATGTAATTTCTTTGACCTTTGCTTTCCTCTGTAAATTAGAAGTACAGGTGATGTTGAAAGATGACATGAATAGGGGTGCCTGGGTGGCTTAGTCAGTTGGGCATCCGACTTTTGGTTTTGGCTTGGGTCATGATCTTGGGGTTGTGGGATCAAGCCCCATGTTGAGCTCTGCACTCTCTCTCCCTCTGCCCTTCCCCCTGCTCATGTGCTCTCTCTCTAATGAAATAAAATAAAATCTTTAAAAAGGAAAAGATGACATGAATAGCACTTGACAAAGTGCTGGCGTATATGTATTACTGTTGTCATCATTGTCCTATTTCTGCTACATCTAGCAGCTATTTGCAATGTCGTATTTATGGAGAAAGGATAAAAACTCCTGAGGCATAGTTCAGGGTAAACAAACAGTGAGTTTTAATTCTAACTCCAAAATCCTTTCCCTTGATAAGTCATCCCTGTGAGAGAGGGTATGTCAGCTTCCTCCAGAGCCTCCCTTCTTGCTGTGTGTCTGCTTAGTTTCACCTCCCTTTCCTACTTTAGATCCTGGCCTTTAGATGTGTGTACCTTCTCCCTCTCTTCTCACTTGAGGGTTGAACTTTCAAACTTTCTACCTAACACCTTTTCCCACTGAGCCAAGCAGCTCTTGATTGTGATCCATCTTCTGCCTTTTTGTCTCCTTGGGGTGTCTTTGCTCGTCCTCCAGACCAGCCAAGCTATTTAATGGAGCTGAAAAATATCTGTGTTGCTCTTCACTTTGTCTTTGAGGCCTTTGGGGAGGGGCTGTGAAGGATAATATTTAAGGCCAAGCAGGCAGGATTCTGCTGGTGGCCTTAGCAAGGGATTGGGTCTGTCTGTGGTAGAGAGCAAGGGGGTGAGGCTAGGCCCAAGAGCACTGCCGAGAGGGTAAGAAGAAGAAGGCAGCAGTGGCAAATAGGGCTTTAGCTGGAGCAGCGAGGTCAGTTTCTTGTATGGGTCACTGTGCATCAGGCGTGCCAGCGCTCTCCCCGTATTCCAGAATGCAGGCCTGTCCTTCCCTCTGTCTCCTCATGCTGCCTACTCTCAGAGTGTCTGGTCATCTCAACTGCCATCCTTTTTGGTTTTGCTCATTTCTTTTTTTCACCTGCTCTTTCCTAATTTCTACAATCTCTTCTCTTTGCTCTTCCTCAGCTTTACCCGAGTGGGCTTAGCTGTTATAACTCTGTCCAGCCAGTGAGATTGGTGACAAGCTCCTCAGTTGTAAGGTCTCTCATTATGTCTTTGTCATTATTGACCATGCAGTATAGCCCCTACACACACACTTTTTTTTTTTTTTAAACTTTTGTGATCAGAGCCTTTGTGTGTGGTATGATGTCAGTGTGGACTCCAGATAAGTAAGACACTGTGAGTCCTCTTGAGAGGTTGGTGGAAAATAGGGCTTTACCCCATGGATCCTACCACTCAGTGGGAATGGGGTCTTGCCCCCAAAGATAGTGATCTTTGTACTATCAGTATCAGTTTATGAAGGTGAAGTCAGGTAGCATGTTGCAACTTACTAAAGTTGGAGCCTCATCTTGCCCTTAATAGCCCTGTGTCTCTGAGAGTCAGCAGTGTCATTGTCCATTCAGATTCTCTTGGCCTTCCCTATTAATATATGCTTCGGTACTCATTTTGTGGAAATTTTTGTTTTGCCAAAAGTTTCTTTGTCATTGTCCAGGGTGTTTTTAGAAAAAATGTTGGCTTCATTGGAATAGATATGTATAATTCTTCTTTCTTCTTAGGACTGAAAGTCAGCCTACAGATGTGGAAAACAAAGCTAAAAAGCTTACGTTGCCTCTCTTTGGTGCCATGAAAGGAGGAAGCAAATTCAAATTAAAAACGGGAACAGTAGGGGTAAGTTGGGGGTCATGGTGTTAAACTTTCAGCTCTCGAGTCAATTTGCATGTAACTGATTTGTACATTGAACATCAATTTATTAATTTGTGATGAATGTCGCATTTAAGAAGTGTCTCTTTTCCTGGTGGGTGGATATTGTAACATTTGGACTCAGCTAACATTTGCTAGTCATATAGTCCCCGCACCTGGCCCTGCCATACGGCCTTCCACACTTCATTTACTCCCTCCAACACTTCATGACGTGTGGGAATTATTACCTCTCACAGGTGAGGAAACGGGTTCAGAGAGGTTAAATATGAGATCACATCATCAATAAGTGACTAGACTGGCAATCAAATCCAGGTCCTCGGTTTCTTGAGTTTTGTGATCTCTCTGCTGTCCTCTAACACTTCACTGGTGAATGTTTTTGCTTTGCGTACAACCCTCTTCACAGATTCAGCTTTTAAAAGGTCTTCATACCTAAAGAGCTGAACCTTGTGTAGTAGTGTGTGAGGGCTGCCCTAACCAAACACCACAGACTGGGTGGCTTAAATGACAGAAATTTATTTTCTCACAATTCCAGAGGCTGGAAGTCCAAGATCAGCATGCCAACAGGGTTGGTTTCTGCTGAGGTCCCTTTCCTTGGCTTGGAGGTGGCCGCCCTCTTCCTGCATCTTCCTGTGGTCATCCCTTTGTGCACTTGCACCTGTGGTGTCTCCCCCTCCTCTTATAAGAAAACCAGTCATCTTGGATTAGGGCCCCACTCTAACTGCTTTCTTTTAACTTACCTCTAAAAATTTTACCTCTAAATGTGGTTACATTCTGAGGTACTGGGGGTTGGGACTTCAACATATGAATTTTGTGGGGACAGAATTCAGCCCCCAGCACCTTGAATTAGGGCAAACTCAGGTTCACCTGAGATGCAGGCTTTTCTGTGAGGGTGGGGGGAGAGCAGGTACTTGTGTTTTAGTTAGAGGGAAAACTCTTTACTAAAAAGCTCTCTTTAGAGGTTTACTGAATTCAGTCCTATATTTTAAAAATGATATGCCCAACATATACTTTGGTACTTTCTCTCTATCCCTTAAGCTTCAATCAACTTTTTCTAATAATTTTATTAAAAGGTCTTGATTAAAATATTTGGCTTTATTCTTTAAGAAATGTCTTCAGGGGGCGCCTGGGTGGTGCAGTCGGTTGAGCGTCCAACTCTTGGTTTCAGCTCAGGTCGTGATCTCAAGGTTGTGAGATTGAGCTGCGGGTCTGGCTCCACGCTCAGTGCAGAACCTGCCTGAGATTCTCTCCCTCTCCCTCTGCCCCTCCCCCCTGCTCTCTCTCTTTCTGTCTCTCTCTCTAAAATAAATAAATAAATCTTAAAAGAAAAAAAAAAGAAAATGTCTTCAGGATCTGTTTTACTGATTTACATGTCTCCTTTCTTTGAAATTGTGTTAAATCTAAAATGAAAAAGCTGCACAAATGATCTGTTTCTCAGAAATGTGTGTCTGATTTACCCCTGGAAGATTTTGTGATGAATTAAGACCCTTTAACACCACGAGGGGTAACAGGACAGAATTCCTGCAGCTGGTACCTGCAATAAATGTTTTAGTTCCCTACAAGCTGTTTCAAGTGACTCGTACTTAATATTCTTTTGACCCTAGAAACTAATAAAGATATGTGTTAAAGGTCCATAGATGAGTAAAATTTCATGTGCGAGTCCTACTTCCAGCAGACTTCTGCAGGGTCCATCAGCCTGGAGAGGTTAGACATTTTACACATTTAGCTTAATTTCCTTGAAGAGATTTGTCTCTATCATTATGTGGAACTATTTGTTCATGGTTTTGTTTCATTCATAGAAGTTACCCCCTAAGCGTCCAGAACTCCCTCCAGCTCTAATGAGAATGAAGGATGAGCCTGAAGTAGAAGAGGAGGAGGAGGAAGAGGAAGAAGAAGATGAGAGGGAAAACGAGGGGGATGAAAGGGGAAAAATGGAGGCTGGAAGCAGTAGGCTGCAGCAGGAGACAGAGCCGGAAGATGCAGTGCAGGAAGCGAGGCCTGCCACTGACCTCATGTGTTCTAAAGAGACAAAAACCCATGGTAATATCTTTCTTCTCCTTCCCGTGCTGTTCAGTGGGGCATTTGCATTGATTGTGCACAGATTTGAAGAGCAAAGCCAGTTCTTGCTTGTGCATTTTGACTTTGTGGCACTTTATGATATGTGATACCGCTGACTCTGGAAACATACTTTCTTGGTCTTTCTTTGACCGTCAGTCATTATTTATCCTCATTGCAAAATCAGAGCAGGCATTTCCAGTGTATTCTAGAATTACAGTACATTGAAAGCTGTGGAATCTGAAACCACAGCTGCTGTGGAACAGCCCTGAGCTGCCTCCATTGTGTGATTGGAGGGCAGTAGAAGAGGGTGCGTGATGGGGCCTGATCAGGTAAACCTCCCCTTAGTCATTATTTTCTCATCTCTAAAACAGAGGCTAAGCATAATTGTGTCCTCGGTACACACTTCTTAGGAAGCACAGTGCCTTATTCATCTTTTTGTCCATGGTACCTAGTGGACAACCTGGCACACAGTACTCACCCAGCTCAGCCAAGGTTTGATGACAAATGACAAAAGAGGGAATTGATTGGTTTTTAAATATGTTTTCTTCTGGGCGCCTGGGTGGCTCAGATGGTTAAGCGTCTGCCTTTGGCTCAGGTCATGATCCCAGGGTCCTGGGATCGAGTCCCGCATCAGGGTCCCTGCTCCTTGGGAGCCTGCTTCTCCCTCGGCCTCTCTCTCTCTCTCTCTGTCTCTCATGAATAAATAAATAAAATCTTTAAAAAAAAAAAAAAGTTAAATATGTTTTCTTCTGATTATAAGAGGAAGGTGTATTCATTTTAGAAACTTTGGATCATACGTAAAAGTCCAAAGAAGAAAAGAGAAATCTCCTGCAATCTCACCCCCAGAGATCATTGTTCATCTTTTCAGTATCCTCTTGTCCCTTGTCAGCTGCAGGAGTTATTTTCCTGCAGGGTGTTAAGACTTCACAGAAAATAGGGAGCATGAGGAAAAACAAAACAAAAACTGACATTAAATATGCATGGGAATGCATGCATGTCTACTTCCAAAACAAATCCGGTTTGTCTGCATAAAGTGCCAGGCCTGGTATGGAGGCCTTCTCTTGATTCATCCTCAGTTGTTTGAGAAAAGAAAAGTTTCTGTTTTTTCATCTGTGAGAGAGCTTTTGTTTTTGCATTTTCCTTTGTTTAGTTACTGGCAAAATGCTTAGCCTTTTCCAACAAGATACTTACACGTACTTTTTTTATGAGTCCCATCTTTGATCCATACATTGTGAAGGTGGCATAAACAGGTTAGTAGGAGGGCGAGCAATAAGTACTTTTTTGTTAAGGGACTAAAGGAAATATATGTGTGTGTAAAAATAGCAGATTTTAAAATTTGGTAAAGATACATTAATGAGTAAATTTGCAGCTGATTAGGGATGACTCTAGGCCTCTTTTTTTTTTTTTTCAGTGTTAGGATCATATTGTACATGCTATTTTATAACCTGTTTTTTTCTATGTCTTAAAATTTTTTTTTAAAATGTGGAGTCAGTAAGGAGCATAGTGGTCCATCACATGCTTGTGCCATAATTTATTTAATCACCTCCCTGTTGTTAGACCTGTACGTAATTTATTAATTTTTGCTATTCTAAACATATTGTATATATAATAAATCTTGGTACTCATCTGATTATTTTCTTTGAATATGTTCCTGGAAATAGAATTTCTAGGCCAAGGAATATGTACATTTTTTAAGGCTTTTGGTAAGTAGTGCTGAAAAGTTTTACTTCAGAGTTGGCCAGTTTTTAAAGTGGAAAATTGATTTCTCTGTTAAACATATGGAGGCACATTTTTTTGAAAATCTAAGTTTATTGAAGCTAATGATAGTAAAGCTGGATGATTATGTATTTACTTAGCTTTTCTTGCTTTTGTTTTTGTTTTCTTCGTTCCCCACCATGAATTAAATAATAACAATATGCTCTGGTTCTGCATTTTATAGAAAACATGTCTCAACTCAGCCAAGTGGAACAGAATAAAGATTATCAAGAGATCAGTGAAACAGCTGCATCATGTGAGGAACCCTCAGGCAAGTAATGTAGCCGACTCCATTGCTGCCCTGCACACGAGCAACCAGCTGGTGTCAGACAGGAGGGGTTGGGAGCTGAGCTGAAGCAGCACAGAGAATGGCCTTTCAGACACTGGGCAGACGCTCCTGCCAGGGCCCTGGACAGAACTGGAATATATGAGAGGTTATGTTTGGCGCCATCCCATTTGCCTTTCTTTATTCCTTTCCTACCTCCTGGGGTTCTGTCTCCCTGACCTACAGAATTCCTACTGCCTTCGCGCTTCCTTGGCATGGAAAGCCCTGGCCATGCAAAGCCCTCCCCAACTTTTCATCTCCCAGAGATGAGTCTGCCTATCATGGGAGTGATTCCAAAACTATTAAAATAAATAAAATAAATTGAAAGGACTGGTTTTGGGACACCTGGGTGGCTTAGTTGGTTGAGTGTCTGACTCTTGGTTTCAGCTCAGGTCATGATCTCCTGGGTTGTGGGATTGAACCCTGCATCGGGCTCCATGCTCAGCACAGAGTCTG